GCTTTCTAGAATTAATCTATATATCACACCGATCAATAAATGTACCCGTACTCATGCATAACGTGTCTTATTAACAAATAACATAAGATGTCGGTAAGAATTTCGTGCAGATTGTATCGTTATTCACCGGGAGAAAAGCTGTAGTAAAAATACTACTCAATGTACAACAAAGTTGTGATAACACATGAAGGAAAACAAAATAACGTGTTATCTATATGTCTTTGGATTTGATTGTCGTTAATTGGCCGGTTGCTGTGTATATCCCACATTTCTGTTTATGCAAATAAAGAAATAGCAACCCTTTTAATTTGCATAAACACTTGTATACTTGTTAGAAAAACTCCTTATAAGACTGTGAATACTCTCGGGCTTTTCCCGACGCCTATGTGACCAATATGCCCCCACAAAAAGGCACCTTTGCTAATCGTCTGTGAGTCGTTTTGTCTCCCCACTTTATGAAAAGGTGCATTTTTTACCAGCTTTACCAGGCCTGTTCATCATGTCTAACTCAAAAAACCAAATACACACCCATCCCCGAAGACCAAAGTGCAAATTAATATGAATCTAAATTCAAAATGATTTTAAGATGTCATTGGATTTTTTCCCCCCGCGCGACGCGTTGATGGGGACATAGCAATACCGGGCGTCCGTCCTTCCGTCCGGTCTTGTTAGCTCTCTAAAGTGTACAATTCTTGCCAGATTTTTATAAAACTTATATATCAGCCTTGTTGCTGACAAGTTTCAAAAATCAGTGCCGACACACTGCTTATTGCATTGAGTAAAAACAAAAGGCGACTCAAAGACAAACACCAGTTTACAAGTATACGACATAAACATGAGGATGTCAGATTTTGACAGTAAACCGGATTTATTTTACATTTATTAATGACTTGCTATTTTTATTACCGAATTTCCCGTTCCGTTATTGATTTATTGTTATACTGTTATACTGCGGACGGGCGGTCGGGCTGCTCCAGTCGTTTCTGTGCGATGACTTATGAACCTTTCATCCAAAGGTTTTCAAATTCTAATATGTTGTCACTGATGACAAAATGGAGGTAGAGTTTGATATTGACGATTAACTTTACACCATTCAGCAACAACCTTATTTTGATTTGAAATGAAATGCTTATCTTGATTAGAAATGTTTTAAAAATTTTGAGCTTTCGATTGGAACAAATGCATGTACTGGGAATTTTGTTTTATATCATTATACCTTTGAATAGGATAAAGTCAAGATCGGGAAACCAAAGGGCACCAATATTTTTTATTAAAATTTTGAATTGATTAAATACTTGCATATATCATTAGAATAAAACTGATACAGGAGCAGGAAGATTATTGAAATTGATGTAGTTGTTTTCATTAATGTTGATCATTTTTTATTCTTGTTAAAACACGAAATACAGAGATTATACCTGATTCAAAAATTAAATTACTTGCTTTGCATCGAATCTATTATATTTGCTATGAGAAGCGGGGAAACGAGAATGTTTTTTATATACAAAAGATAATTGTTTAAAAACAGTTTTACTGTATATAATTTAAACATATTTTTAGATACAATGTTACAGTCACTGTTCTTATTTCTTCTTGAATTTTCTAGCATGTAAACTTTTAAATTATTTGCGTTTTTCAAAGTATTAACACGTATTCACGAATACAAACTGCATGTTAAACTACAGAATGATACCGATGTCTTTATCTGGTATATTCTTGTCTTGCGTAATTGGTATATTTGTATATTATCAATCTCTTTACAACATCTGGATTTTATTATACACAATTAGCGTTATTAGATCAATTTTGGTAATTAACACATACGGTTTTCCTTTTAAGGCACCCTGTAGTGCTAAATGATGGACCTTTTCACAGTCAGGAAAATCCCTTCATTTACATACAAGGGACACATTTATCACCTATTAAGGAATAGTTGATTCATGCTCCTTCTTTATGGTATTATTAGACATTTTCAATTGTAAACATAAATATTCTGATAAAATACATGTACATGTATGTGCATACTCGTGTATTTTCAAATTATAGGATCATGCAAAACACACGCCTTGGCTCAAGTTATATTGAAATAATTAATTTGTATTCTCTTGTTTAAAATGAAAAAAAGATCACAAATAAGCAGAAGCTAAACTAACTTTTTTCCAAGTCCACACCAAGATTGATAGACTTAAGCTTGGGTTGAGAAAACGTACCGTGCTTATCGATTTGATATTATTTATTCTAGTTTAGATTTCATTCCTGAATGACATCGTTGTTTTCATATTTTGAAGTACAAAAGGTAGAGCTGCTTACAATTTAGTACATTGTTATTATATTAGTGCATTTCTTCCTACACCTGAGATTCATGTAGTATTTGCAACTGGACGTTTACACAAATCAATCCATCAACCCATTTATTATGTGTCTATAAGATTTTAAAAAAAAATATCAGTTTACTGTTACAATTCATCGTCTCAGTTAAAGTTTCCGTTCTGATACAAGCATATCGAATTGTAAACTCTGTTGTAACGAAAGTTATGAACATTTTAAAGCATTTGTGTTTTGCAAGCAAGATCTTAAAAAAAAAATCCCCATTACTGTTTTAAATACTTTCCATGGTTCTGGAGTAAAGCTTTGGAGATTTTCTTATTTATTCAAATAGAAAAAAAATATCATCGGTCCGACATTCAAAAAGCACCCTGCCATTTTTTAAGATCATTAATTATATCTTCAATCAGTTCTGTTTTGAATCGGAAAGAACAATATCTACTTCAATTCAAATATTCGCTCGGTGTGCCTCTCTGAAACCATCAATACGTGAACTTTGCTGCAAAAATTACTATACAATATATGGATTTATTTTTTCCGTAAATGCAAAATAATCGACAAATCTTACAGCATTTACTAGGGTCTGGATTGGGTCTTTCATATCTGTATTCTATGATAATATAGGTAATATTTCTCTATTTTTTTATATTTTATGTCGATTGTCAAGATTATTTTCTATTCTGTATATATTAGACCCATTTTATCTATTTTTTTGGGAGTAAATTATTTCCTTTTTTTTCTTCTTTTAGCTCTAATCGCGGCCTTCATTTACCATGTTTACGTTTGTTGTGCATGCGAGATATAAACTGCAGTCTCGCAAAGCTATACCTCTGTAAAGACAACTTAACAGTATCAATGTTTAATATGATAACTATGAAGTAAATAAAATGCATTTCTTTACGTACATGAATACATCCGACAAATGTTTGCAAAAATAAGCAAATATTTGTCAGCATTTACTTAGGTTGTAAATGTTTTAGAAACCGAAGTCTCTCAAAACTTTGCATACCTGTATAAAGATATGTTGCAAATATCAATATTTAGCAAAATAACTATAATACTGGAAAGTATTAGTAAATAAAATCCATTTCTTTACAAACATGAACGATATCGACAAACGTTTGCAAATATAACACAAACATTTGACAGCATTTACTTTGGCTGTAAATGTTTTATAAATCGCGGTCTCTCAAAACTTTGCATACGTCTGTAAAGATATGTAGCAAATATCGATATTTATCAAAATATTTATGATAATGGAAAGTATTAGTAAATAAAATACACTTCTTTACATACATAAACGATATCGACAAACGTTTGCAAATATAACACAAACATTTGACAGCATTTACATTGGTTGTAAATATTTTATAAACCGCGGTCTCTCAAAACTTTGCATACGACTGTAAAGATATGTTGCAAATATCAATATTTATTAAAATAACTATAATACTGGAAAGTATAAGTAAATAAAATACATGTCTTTACATAAATAAACGATATCGACAAACGTTTGCAAATATAACAGAAACATTTGACATCATTTACATTGGTTGTAAATGTTTTATAAACCGCGGTCTCTCAAAACTGCCCACACCTCTGTAAAACAGTTATGCACATTTTAAACTTTGCATATATCTCCGATTCTGGAAAGTGCATGTAAATCTAAGGCCTATCTTTACATATCTTTGGAATATGAATAAAGCTATGGAAATAAAATAATTATCTTTAGCATATCTTTGAGGACGTCCTAAATAATGCCAAAGGAATGAGACATTTACATATACATTAGTAGGTCCGCAAATATATCTGGCAGAAAAGTAGTTACATTAGTCAAACATTTACATGACTGTCCAAATTGTTGTAAATCTGCCTTTTCGTGTAGTGCGAGATATCCTTTCGTGACAGAAAATCAGTACATGCTCATCAAAAACACAGAACAGCAAAGGGGATAAGCTTGTATTTTCATATAATTGAATATATATATCTGGGTCACGTGTCTATCTGCTATGTTAGCAGATATTTACGATGGTTAATTATATGGCAATCAGTCTAACAATACGCAGACATGTTGGTACTTTCTAACGATTTTTTCGGAAAAAGGTTATTTAGGGAAATTTCGTGATGGGACAATTTTTAATTTTATAGTCAATTGATAATGCATAGGGATGATAAACTAGTGGTAGTTATAAATTAATTACACGATTTGATCAACTTGCTACGTTAAACCAACGAACTTGTAGACCACAGTCTATGTATCATTACATAAAACAATTTTTTTTGGTATAAAGGACTGAATTTAGTATATCAGATTTGATTTCCGTTACAGAATGATGATTGACGACAAAGTACTTTAACTGTATACATAAGTACATATTCTTTAATAACACATACAGTAACTATGGTAACTCAAAAATCCCTAAGGCATGCATACACTGTCGTCAAAAGCTCATATAGGCCTCATTAAAGTCTAATATAAAAAAACACCTAAAAACGAGTAATTCAAACTCTACAGGGAAACTTTTATACTAAGTCAACTTTTATATAAACTATCAGAAAAAAAAGTGAAAAAAAAAGAACAAAATAAGATCATGGCTAACAAAATTATTGAATAAAAATTTTGTGTTTTATATCTTGATGAAAGCTACAATAATATAGGGCAACAATGAACTTACCAAATATAGTCATGAAACAAAGCAGAACTAATATCGTGAATATGGTAGTGTCCGTTTTGTAAATCCGTCTGAAGTTGGAATCTAGAAAATATAAAAAGATAATAAAAACACCCCTACTACATATGGTACAAAGGTAAATGCGTGGTAAATTTCAAGTTCAAGTGCTAATCACATTATTTTTTTTAAATAGGACAAAGACAAACATTCTTTTTGATCAAACTCCTTCAGGTCAAGGCAACAATGAACTTTTCACATAATTGGACACTCTGTAAAGCATTACAAAGAAAGCCCAATATATGACTTGCTGAAATGATTTACCACAACGTACAGCTTCGATGAACCTAACATTTAATTATTGTGTATGTAGGTTTCTGTTAGAAAGAAAGGAATCAATCGGTGTTACATCGCGTTATATTTTTCAAAATGCCACTGACCAATGAAAGAGGTAAGTTTTGTATCACTTTAAAACTAGATTTATTTCATACCAGGAAAAACATATTTTAGACCTATAACGATTTTATTTTTCTAATTACTTGGTTGATTACTTGACACATTTGATATATCTTTCTTTGATTTAGAAAGAAAAGAACGTTCAAGAAAATCGTACAATCGTCGTTTTTTTATGCATCCACATTATGTGTGACCAATTTAACATACAATTCTTAAACTAATTCGTCACAATAAGAGTCAAAGTATTCAACGTGGGAGTATGGTTAAAACTTTCAAAACACATCTTATTATTGTCGATTAACTGAGTACAATTAATTCGTATTTTACCATAGGTGTAAAATCAAAGCCTTGGAAGAGTATCACATTATGCTTGCAATTATATCATGATATTTTGGCTAGGTGTTCGTATATGTTGTTTTGATTTTTGTCATGTTGGGGCTTGTTAAAGATTTCTATGGTATAAGCAGATTGTAATCGATTTTTGGGGCCTGTCCCGAGTCTGGAGCCTCTGGCTTTTGTTAGTCTAGTATGATTGATAATTTTTGTTAATTTATATATTTCGGAGTTATCACTGAATTAGTACTCCTTCTTGTTTAGGGGCCAGCTGAAGCACGCTTCAGGGTGCGGTATTTTCTCGCTGTGTTGAAGACCCATTGGTGGTTTTCGGCTGTTTTCAGCTCCTGGTTCGGGTTGTTGTTTCTTTGACACACTCCCCATTTCCATTCTCAATGTTATTGGTTTTCCGTTGAAGCTTTACTGTTAGATATAGTTGCATGCATCTTCATTAAGTCTGTTGTGGATATTAACCTTACATAATCTTCAAATTTCTTTATTAATTAGATTTTTATGTTAGCCTCATAAACAGAATACTTAAAGCTTACTTTCTATTCTTATAAGTATTCGTTCTTTTTCATTTTTCTCTGGCATGGTTTTGTTAAATCTACAAAAATGTTCAAAATGTGCAGTTATAAGTATTCCAATTTGTATTACTTGTTTAAAAAATTGTTCACGCTACTGATTAAAAAAAAAAATTGAATGATTCTTATTTCATAGCAGTTTGTCGAGGCGTTTATTGCATATTCCAATATGACGACCTACATGTACAGATGTATCGTCAATTTAAATAATACATATATACATTTAGCGTTGACACATTGACACATTAAATTGGTGTGAAGCTCACGTTTACGTAAGGAAAGCGTTAATAAAATACGGTTATCTCTATTAAAAAAAAAATTAACCAAACCAGTATAATAAATTTCCTTCTCAAAGATGGAGATCAAAACCTAAATAACATGAAACGAATGGAAAACTCCTGTCATATTCCCGACTTAGAACAGGGGTTTCCGGGTGTAAAAATACGGTGGATTAAACCTAGTTTTATAGCTAGGTAAACCTCTGAATTGTTTTACAGTCGCACAGAACTACATTATATTGGCTGCCTTTTTTTAGCAAAATAGACCTTTTACTAGGAAAATTGCAACAAAAACTGGTAAAACAGACAACCTTATGTTATAATCTTAATCACTATAAAACACACACCTATGACAATAACGAAAAACAAAATGACAAATCGACAAGAAAACAAACAAAACATGACCATAGCACTTACACAATCGCAGGATGTATAAGTACAAATGTAGTCACGACAAAAGGATATTTTTTTTTCCAAAAATGGACGGAACAGTAAAAAAAACAGTCCGTAAAACAAATTCCGAAAAACTCAGAGTAAGAATTTCTTACTCTATCAGTGTTTTTGTCATTTTCTTAATGACAAGTAATATTTCGGTGTTTAGTCACGTTTGTGCTTTCGTGTCTGCAGACACGAAACGAATATAAGGTTGTGGCAATGACTCATCCACATATCCGCTGCATCTGTAACACTAATTTTCTAGCACTTACACAAGGGGAAATCAAAATCACAGGAAAAAATAGTTTTGGAATAAAGGAAAGCCACGGACAAAAACAAAGAAAAATTCAAAAGATTAAATGACACAGAGAATAACACCTATTGGTAACCAAACGGCCTTCAACAACGAACAAAGCCCATACCGCAAAGTCAGCTATAAAAGGCCCCGAAAAATTTAAAATGTTTCAAACTAGAAAACCAAACTTATGTACGAAAAAAGTAAACGGAACACAATTATGTAGCATAACGAACAAAAATGGTAACCACTGAATAACAGACTCCCGACTTTGAACAGGTATTTACGATATGTGGCAAGATTCAACTAGTTTGAAGGCACCTCTCTAAACATGGGACAGTGATGTAACAGTAGAATATAGAACACAGTATAAAGATCAGTAAAGCAATATTGAATGCAATTGCAGTACAAATAAAACTGGAGACAGCTATACCTCAATAACGCACAATCATTAAGAATATTCACAAACATGACAAAGATAAAGTTAATAATCTTACTTTGTTATATCAATACAGTTTGGGTTTTCCTTTATGCCACTTTGGGTGCAACTATCATCTGAAGAACAGAACATAATAAGTCATTTAAATTCATCACCATGAACCCTTTTGCTTTGTAAATAGATAAGATTGTTCGGGTGTCTTTCTCCATTTTTGACTAATAAAAAGCAGAATATATTTTGCCTAAAGATGTAATGATATAGTATGCAAATTGTGAGAGAGGAATTTATCGCATATAATTTTTTCATCTAAATGAGCAACATTATATGTTTTATTTTATTATAACGACTCTCTCACATAATAAACAGAACATTTTGGTATGTAATTTTCCTCCTAACTAAGCCATATAAGTAAATAGGACCCAATTAATCTAACTTTTATAAAAGAATATGTAGTAAATTAACCTATTTTGTTTGGTAGCAAGAAAACGAGTCCGATAAAATTTCAGATTGACTAAAGTTCCGTGTCCCATTGTTCCTATTCTTATTCTTTTGTTTAAGGCAAACTATTGGAAATTCTTGCATAAGCTACCTGCTGATATTGTTGAGTTAGTTGAGTATGATGTATCATAGCAAGAGCAATCTTCTTCTGTTGGTATACAGTAACAAACATTTCTCGGTGTTTTAATGAATGAATAGCCCTTTTTATAGTCACACCGGCATGCTCTATCATCCTTTGTTGAATTGTCACTGTATATTACTTGTCCTTCCTCATTGCAATGTGATTTTTCATAGACACAAGCAGTCATGCTTCCATTGGTCCAAAATAAAAATGGCTGAAAACGTTTGTTTGTACATTTGTCTCTGCTAAAGTCTCCGACATAAATTCGCTTGCTTCCTGTATATACAAAGATAAGGTAAATGCAATTAAGAATAATAAGATATAAACAATATATATATATATATAACTTTGAAAATCACATTGACTACACCTCTTGTCGGCGTCTTGGACAATATACAGTTTTAAAAGAAGTTTTTCTGATTAATGAATAATGTTATTGGGAAACACAATTTGGTGATCTTTGACATACCTTTAATTAAGAAGTTGACAAAGGATGATCTTTCGTGACATTTATTGACTTTGAACATTCACAGTATGTCCCGGATAGAGAAAACATATAGAACAGACAATAATTATAAGCATTTGTTTGTTCTTAATTATTAACATGATCTGTTATAAAACAGTTGTCTGTTGGATGTGAGGTAAAAGTAAAATCACAAAAATACTGAACTCCGAGGAAAATTAAAAAAAGAAAGTCCCCAATCAAATGGCAAAATCAAAAAAAACAAACACACCAAACGAATGGATAACAACTGTCATATTCCTGACTTGGTACAGGCATTTTCTTATGTAGAAAAAGGTGGATTGAACCTGGTTTTATAGCTAGCTAAACCTCTCACTTGTATGACAGTCGCATCAAATTCCATGTCACAAGTTGAATGAACAACTTCACAATATGTTTGAAGAGCTTTAGTGATTAAAGACCATATTTAATTCGAAGAATTGGCAGAAGTTTTGTAGATCAAGTCCTTTGCATATCAATGTAATCACTTAATTAAAAAGATATATATTTTTAAAGGCAAGTCATTGTCATCTTTTCTATTGTAAACATTCGGCAGTGGCAAGTTATATGACACATCTATAAGGAGCTGCAATTTAAATTCCTCTAATATTTTTCAACGACACGAACATTTGACGCCCTGTGTGTTCCTCTACCCCACAATTCTACAAATCAATTATTGTAAAAATGAATTGGCAACTTGAACAACAGTGTATTTATATTATGCAGTCATTACAAGCTTTTTACTGCATACTTTTGATTATACTTATAAAGTATGTATCTAACTAATATTAAAATTAGTTTTTACAAATGTTTAAATTTGAAGAGCAACAATATTGTTCCATGGACAACACAAAAACGTACAGACATAATACCTAAGTTGATGACTAATTTAAAATCTTATAGTCTTCATTTATATTGAAAGATATTAATTTATTTTGTAACTACAACGTCACTACACAAATCATCATTTTAATCATTTGTATGGACGAGAAACTTGAAATGTGTTTACAACTGGATAACAAGTCCTCCTGACAATCATAAATCAAAACAGTATGAACACGAGCACGAATATCGAATTTACGTTTATCTACACTACAAAAGTCAAAAAGTCTGAAAAGACCAATTTTTGTCTGAATTTGCATGAATTTTTACTCGACATTCTTTCTTTGTCTGAATTATTTTGAAAAATTCTTAACATAGTATGAATTTGTCTAATAAAGTTCTTGATTTGTCTTGACAAGTGTCTTGACAGTATTAACATTGTCTAAAAATTTCTTGACACTTTCTGTATCATCTGATAAGAGTCTTGATTAGTCTTAACCAATTCTTGACTGTCTTAAATGTGTCTCGATCAGTCTTGACATATTCTTGACATTTTTAAAGCTGTCTCAACATATCTCGACACATTTTTGACGGTCTTAAAGATGTGTTGACACTATCTCAACAGTATAAATTTCGCCTGAATTGTGTATAGACACATTCCGCACTATTTAAACAATTTCTTTTGCTGTTATATACTCATTTTTATTATCGCTTAACTATACTTTCAAGTATCAGGGATTTTTATAGTGGTGCACCTAACTTGGAATACCCTAAATAAGTGTGTGTGGCTAAAAAGTGGGAGGGGGACTTTCGTTTGGAACAAAGAATGTGTTCCCATCTTGATTCAAAAACTTATTCATTTTTTTTAGAACAATCAAAACATTTTTATTCAAAATTTAGTGTTGAATTTTATAATTTTATATCAAAACTTAATATTTGTTATACTTCCCTCCTGATTTTTTCCTCAAGAAATCATAGAACAAAAAAAAAAGTTTAGATCTTAATTATGCATTCTGTTTGAGACAGGGATGGGGTAATCGTAATCTGTAATCGTAATCGATTGTAATTGATTACATTTTTCCAAGTAATCGACAGTAATCTGTAATCAACAACATTTTCGATTACATGTTATAGTAATTTAATCGATTACAGCAAAAATTATCATGTAATCACCGATTACTTTTCGATTACATTTCGATTACTTATTAATAATAGTTTGATAAAATAGAACCTAGTTTAAAAGAAAATAGACAACGGCATGCTTTCCTCATTTCAAAGTACAGATTAAATAGAATGTATAAATATTAGTTGAGATTTCTATCAAATTTTTTATTCAGTTTTAGGTTTGCCTCAAATCTGCCTTATGTTCAAGCAGATTTCCTGACAAATTATACTGTATTTCCTGCTTTTTAAACATATGACATACAATTCTTGAAAAAACTTAAAGATCTTCAATATATATATATATATATATATATATATATATGTGATATTTGCAATCGCCAATGGCAGTCAGCAGGGTTTAAGAACATCAGTTGTTCGACCTGCTAGTCAAATGCGTTTTGTTAAATGATACTTTTTCACTCATTTGGTCCGTTTGAAAATGTTGTTTGTGTTGTATTTAGACCCCTCTACCAAGAAATTTGTTTTGCATGCACACGTATAAAAATTGCGGTATACAAGAACATGCAAATCCGATGAATTTGAACTCAAAACAAACAAGCGTAAGCCAGTCAAACATGCCCATCTCTATGTCGTCCAATAATTACAACAAATTGCCTAAACTCAACTTGCCCACTTTTGGAGGAAACCTACAAGAATGGTCAGCCTTTTGGGATTCATATAATTCTGCCGTACATGAAAATCCTTCATTGAGTGACGTACAAAGATTTAACTATCTGAAATCGCAACTTTACGGAGAAGCTAGCCAGTGTATATCGGGAATGCAAATTACTAATACAAATTATAACCAAGCAATACAAATTCTACACGAGAGATTTGGCCAACAACACAAAATTGTAAACGCATGCATGCAAAACTTGCTAAATTTGCCTGCACCAACGCCCGGAATTAAGGGACTGAAATCATTCAGTACTAATAGAAAGTTATATACGTGAACTAGAAGAAATGGGTCGATATCAGGAATCGTACGGAAGCCTATTTATACCACTTATACTCAACAAACTTCCATGTTTTGTCAGACAAAACATTACTCGAGACCACGGAAATGATGATTGGGATATTTCAAGTTTACGCAAAGCAATAAAGAAAGAAATTTGTATTCAAGAGGCCGCTAACGCCAATCCTATTGAAACCGATATTATCCAAACCGCATCGTTCGTGACAGAAACCACAAATAAAAGATGGATGTCAATAGGGTCTAAAGATAGTAACGACAATAGTACATTTGAGACTAAAAGACCGTGTTTGTTTTGTCAAACCCCGCATCACCCAAATGAATGTACAAAGATCACCGATATAAACGTCCGCACGAAAATCGTAAAGGGAAACGAGTTTGCTTTAACTGTTTCGGTAATCACAAGGGTTCGGAATGTAAGTCACAATATAGTTGCCGATATTGCAGTAAGAAACATCATAGCAGCATTTGCCGTAATATTTTACAAAATAGAAATTCCACTTCCAATGAAGATAAACCCTTAACAAAACCTGCTAATGGAGATGTACTAAGTACTACAGAAACAAAGAGCGTCGCTATGCATTCTGCAGTTACAGCACATACCGAAATTCTATTAAAAACTGCCGTAGCGCCCGTGTGGTACCATGATGAAAGTGTTATGACTAACATTCTACTCGATGAAGGCGCCCAAAACTCATTTATTTCTCAAGAATTAGTAGAAAAACTACAAATCAAACCCAGTGGTATAGTAAGTATGCAAATTCCTGCATTTGGCGGAAAAGAAGGTAAGGTACGCAACCTAGAGAAAGCGACAATATCGATTGAGACAGAAAGAAAAGAAAGAATTCCAATGGAAGTAATAATTGTTCCAAAAATTGCCGCACCGATACATATGAAGAAACGTGTAAACATCAACAGTTTGTCCTATTTACGATGATTACAACTTGCCCACCAAGTCATACACGATGAAAAGTTCACCATTTCACTACTCGTTGGAGCAGATTACTATTGGTCTTTAGTACAAGATGAAATTATTCGAGGTGATGGACCAACAGCGATTAAATCCAAAATAGGCTATTTGCTAGCAGGACCGCTGAACACAGGTATTAACACTAGACAATGGAACTCTACGATGATGAATGTTTTAGCGCCGCAAAAACCCGAGGAATGCGATTTACAGAAATTTTGGGAGATTGAGTCGAGCGGTTTAAAGACGGATTCTGATAAAAATACAAAAAATGTACAAAACCTAATACTTGAGTACCAAAACTCTACCATTACTTTTAAGGAAAATATATATGTCGCCAAACTTCCATGGAAACCAGATCACCCTGAGTTACCTACAAATGAATATGTAACAAGAAGGAGGACCCAGAATGTTATAACTAGGTCAGCTAAAGACCCAGATATGTTACATTTATTCGATAAGACAATCAAAGAACAGGAGACTAAAGACTTCATAGAAAAGGTACCTTCTACAGAAATCGATCGCGAAAATGGACGAATCCACTACACACCGCACCATCCCGTTAAGAAGGAATCAAACACGACCCCTATTAGAATTGTATATGACTGCAGTTGCCGTGGAAATCCAGATTTACCCAGCCTTAATGACTGCCTATCTTCAGCACCACCTATTTTGAATAAATTAACACACATTCTAACAAGATTTAGATTAGGGAAATATGGAATTACAACAGACATAGAAAAGGCATTTTTACAAGTAAGACTTGATAATGAAGATCAAGACGCCACACGATTCTTTTGGTTGTCCGATTCAACTGACCCAACAAGTGACTTGACAATGTACAGATTTAAAGTTGTACTTTTTGGAGCGACGTGTTCACCGTTCATTTTAAACGCGACATTGCTAAAACATATATCGATGAATCCGAGTAAAGTAGCTACAATTCTACAAAAAGACTTATATGTTGATAATGTACTTACTAGCATGAACTCCGAAGAAGCAGCAGTTAAATACTTCAATGAATCGAGAGAATTACTTAAACAGGGAGAATTTAACTTACGGTCATGGATGTCAAACAGCGACAAACTCAGAGATTTGGCCCAATCTGAAAAAGTACTAGATGCAGACAAGGATACGAAAATATTGGGGATGCGCAGGAATGCAGACTCAGATACACTCAGCTTTGCCAAAATCATGATTTCCTTGATAGAGGATTGCTGCTACAGAGCAAGAGTTCCAAATGGTGAAGTTGAAATCATCCCTTCGTAAATTTTACGGACGCAATCACGAGTTGGTTGACCGTAATGGAATAACCGTTTCACAGATGAAATCGGATATGTTCCTTATATCGTAACTTCCCTTTTCACGAATTTGACCTACAGAATTAGACTATTTACCGGATTTGTAATAACATAAGCAACACGACGGGTGCCGCATGTGGAGCAGGATCTGCTTACCCTTCCGGAGCACCTGAGATCACCCCCCGTTTTTGGTGGGGTTCGTGTTACTTAGTCTTTAGTTTTCTATGTTGTGTCATCTGTACTATTATTTGTCTGTTTGCCTTTTTATTTTTGGCCATGACGATGCCAGTTTGTTTTCGATCTATTAGTTTGACTGTCCTTCTGGTATCTTTCGTCCCTCTTTTAAAGATGGACACACAATTGACAAACGTGAACTTTTGCGACAGTCTTCCGCTATTTATGATCCGTTAGGACTACTCGGATTGATCACCATTAAAGCAAAAACACTTATGCAAGAACTTTGGAAAAAAGGTTAAGAATGGGACGAGATACTACCGAAAGAAATTGGAAATGCATGCACCGATGTGAAGAATGACATCTTACATCTTAACTTCGAAACTTAAATTACAAAGATACTATATAGCAAACCATGACGAGGAAACCAGCGACTCTACTCTACACAATTTTGTTGATGCAAGTCAGAAAGCATATTGAGCTTCCGTTTACTTGAGTAAATGCAAGGTGTCAAAACTCGTTATCGCAAAGAACCGTGTTGCACCGATGAAATTAATAACTTTACCGAAATTAGAATTAATGGCTGCAGTGATCGGAGCACGACTCTCAAAAGATGTAATTGAAAACTTAGGGATTAAAAGAGCAGTATTTTGGAGCGATAGTCAAATAGTTCTACATTGGTTTACCTCATCGAAACCGTTAAACAAGTTTGGAAAAAATCGTGTTAGTGAAATTAAAGATATAACTGAAACTCACGAATGGAAATATGTACCTACAGAAATGAACCCAGCTGACCTACAAACACGTGGAATAACTGAATCGCAATTTTAGGATTCGACATTATGGATGAATGGACCCCAGTGGATAACGAACGAGCGTAAATGGCCCACGTGGACAGGACATGTGGAAATAAGCACTCAGCTATCCAATATCACAGGAACAGAGACACACAGAATTGACGATAAAAACCCAAGTAATCCGCAGCGAATATCACAGATCATAGATATGTCTAGGTATTCTGATTTACATAAACTTTTAACTGTGACTGGATACGTCTTGAAATTCGTAAATAACTGTCAGAAAAAACGACCATATCGACTTAGAAGTTCACAAGGAGACAGAAAGCTCAGGACAATTCTAACAAAAGAGGAAATTTTATTAGCTATGAATTTATGGATCAAATATACACAACAAGACAGGTTTGTGAAAAAGCTAGATCATATTTCATTGATTCCGAAAATGAAATCACTACCGCTTGTACAACAGTTACGTTTATATCTGTATGAAAATGGAATCATACGATGTAAAGGCAGAGTACAGAATTCATCTCTAGAAGAAAACGCTAAGTTTCCTATTTTATTACCAAAGAAACACAAACTTACAGATTTTGTTATTATGGACGCACATCTAAGAAATCTACATGCAGGAGTCGGCCAGACAATTAAACAGATAAGACAATCATACTGGATACCGGCAATTCGACAATGTGTGAACAGTGTCTTACGTAAATGCGTACAATGCCAAAAAATAATTGGTAAATCGTATAACAGACCGGAACCACCACCACTACCAAAGGATCGAGTAAAAGACACCATACCATTTTGTACAACTGGGATAGATTTTGCCGGACCCCTACACATCAAGGATACATCAACACAACCGCGTAAGGTTTAAATATGTTTATTCACATGTGCATGCATACGAGCTATACATTTGTAACTTGTACCTGATTTGTCATTGAACACTTTTATCTTAGCATTTAGACGTTTTATCAGTCGAAAAGGAACACCACAAACTATTTATTCCGATAACGCACCTACATTTGTAGCCGCATCAAATAAACTACAAAGTCAGCTGAATTTGCACATCAACTGGAAATTCATTCCGAAAGAAGCGCCGTGGTATGACGGATGGTGGGAACGTCTAATTGGCTTAAAAAAAGACATTAAAGAAAGTTTTTGGTAAAGCACTCGTCAGCGGACAATCTTTAACAACATTACTCACAGAGATTGAAACTATACTAAACAATCGCCCACTTACATATATATCTTCAGACATAAGAGATCCAGAACCATTGACGCCATCTCATCTTTTACACGGAAGGATTATTTCGACGACAGAGATGCACAACGACATACACAACGCGAATATTCAAGAACTTGACACGATCACAGCAAACAAATAATTTGAGAGAAAAGGACTTTTATTAGACCACATCGCAAAACGTTGGTCTAACGAATATCTTACCGGATTACGTGAATATCATCGAGCCTCGGGAAAACATAATGGACAAGTTAACATCGGTGATGAAGTTCAACTAGAAAGTGAATCACCACGACTTTTATGGAGATTAGGAATAATAGAAAACGTTATCAAAGGAGGGGATGGACTCATTCGTGCAGCAAAAGTACGGACTTCTAGAGGACTAGTTACCACACGACCAATTGTGAAGCTATATCCATTAGAACTATAGTAACTGTTAAATGATTTTTGTGAAGGACAGTTTACGTAATGTGAATTTTTACAAAAAACTTTCCATGTGATCTGTTTATAGAATTTTAATAGTTTTGATAATTTATTATTTTAAAATAATTTGATTTCTTTTGCATTTTGAGGCCCCCAGAATGTCGTAAATATTAGCCAAGAGACTTTAGAACGTTATGTTATGTAACTGTTTCCCGTACTTTCGCGCACACTATTGAAATGTAACGTAACGCTATTGTTACGTATCTACGGATCTTAGAATCATAAAGCATCTCAACTAGCAAGACGTTATTTTCTTTCACAAGTCTAAAAAAGTTAATAACCCTCAAAATAGTATGTCTACAGTATGAATGATTTTAATCATTTAGCAATTATTTATAAGATTTAGGAATCAACATTTGTAATTATTTACAAACCCACATTTAAATTGGTTTATATCAACATACCCACATTTGTATTGTTAATACATTAAATTTCATAGCTATATTTGTATTTAAAACAATATTTATATATCCAAATTTTCAATTATTTTATATTTACATGCCCAACTTTTGTTTTTGTTGTTACAAGTGTAACTTGAAACAACAGTATATTATATAAAGAGAAAAAAAAAGATAAAATTATATCATGTATATTGGTCATGATTTGTAAAACACAGAATTGTCAAGTAAATTTAAGACACAATTCAAAATGTTCAGAATATATCAAGCCATACTGAGAAAAAATGAGAATGTCGAGAATCTGTCGAGGAATTTCAAGACAATATTCAAATGTTAAGAATTTGTCAAGAAATGTTTAGACCATATTCAGAATGTCGAGAATTCGTCGAGTAAATTTCATACAACTCTAATATAAATCAGAATTTGTCAAGAAAAATTAAGGCACAAGTCATACGTTTGGAGAATGTCGAGTAATTGTTCATGCAAATTAAGATAAGAATTAGTCTTTTCAGACTTTTGGACTTTTGTAGTGCTATCTATAATGTTAATAGTTACATTTGTTAGGAACGACTGTTTGTTTGTCTTCATGTCTAATTGTGTATTTTGATTACTTCATAATTGACTGATACCCCGTATTATCTATTCAAATTAAGAATATCAAATTATATCTACCAAAAGACATATTTAATGTACCTTTTCTATCCCAGTCTGGTCCATTACATCCTTCAACATATCTCCCTGCCACATTGTTAAACAAGCAAAAGTAATTCCTCGTGTTGTTACACTTTAGTTGTGCTCGAAGTTTCCAGCTAGCTTGTGAAGGACATTTGAAGTCGTATGGTTCAGTGCACAACACAACTCTCTGAAAATACATCCCATATAAATTGATAATTTAATATTAAATTATACATGGTGTATACTGTTTTGACTTTTCGTCGAGAACAATTAGATAAGGTCAGTGGCTAAACACTTTATAGAAATCATTTTCTTTTAATTTTCTCAAAATCTTTTCATGAATAAGATAAGGCATCGTGAATTATTAACATATAGTATAACTGTAAAGTTAACTTCACATATTGTAAGAATATTTCAGAGGAGCCCCATCCAAATCATGACAAACCCTTAGATAATACTCTTTAAACTTTCTTTTCATTTTTAGTGTTTTGTTCTTTTTTTTTTTTTGCTTCTTTTATGAACAAGTCAGTGAAATTTTGCATTTCACTGATGCATTAACTTGTTGGAAAGTTTCACCATACTTTTTCACCGATAACAAGCAGTAGCAAGTGAGGCGAGGTTCCCATGACCATTAACAAATGTACATATAGCCCGGTGACCAAAGTGAACATTTTTAAAATTTAATCGTCAAAAATAGTACACGGCTGTATCATATATCATTCGATTCGAAAATATGTGTACTTCAAAATTAATTTGGTCGTCAAAACTAAATATGGTGCAGTTTTTCAGAAATCAAGATCAAAGATCAACCACCATTTTCATACAAAATTGCAATGGATATTTATATAACAACTTAAATACCTTTATCGCAAAAAAAAAAGCAAATCAGCATGGATTCTATTTTCACATTCAATTTTTCATCCAAAAAGTTAAAATTCATCATAAAATGAATTGTACCGATAAAGTGAAACATTTTTTAAAAAAAGGGGGTGGTTTTCATCTTAAAAAGATGTACTTTTTCAAAACAATTAGTATTACGAGCATCAAAAACATAATAAATGAATAGAAAAATACGAAAAAATATGTATGTCTTAAGATAAATATCTTTTATTGCCCAGTATTAGTTGAACATTTTAGTTTTGTACACTTAGGGTAGGGTAGGTACACGCCAAAGTGGCAATAAAACTCTCTAAACACAGACTGATATGTGGCTTTAAAAAACTGTTTGTATGTAATAACATGCATTACAAGGAACATAAGTCAGTACAGAACATACAAAAACTGTAAAAAGTATTTCGGAGTACTAGAACCGCATTTAACTGTGTGAAACTTTGAGATTTTTTAATAAGGTCTTAGTGATACAATATCAGAAATGCACATTCAATTTGCAAATCGCACCAAAAGCTTTACTGACAAATATAATTTAGTTCTCGAACCTCTTCTGTAAGGGCATGCGTATAAACGTTCTTACAGGATTCTGATCCTGGGCCGGAACATAAGTCGGTACATGCAAGGTTTTGGTCGACACAAACACAAGACTTTTTACATTGTGATTTTCCCTTACAAGCCACACGAGATCATGAAGAAAATCTGCTGACATGTTTCCTTCAAAGTAGACAGGATGCAAGGAATCTTTGAATGATCTCCATCCGTATTCCAATGGTGAAGGCAGGGGTGGTTTTGCAAGACAGGAAGCATGCCAAATTTTGGTCTGAAATGAGGCACGAAGGATATGCTGTCGAAGCGCCGCTTCAGAGGGTGGCAATCTGACCAGACTTGAATCTCTGCTTGTAGCAAGTTTAACTCGCAGTTTGTTAATGTCCTGATGGCAGGATGCATAATTCTTCTTTTGATCGTAAAGCCTTGCCACAAACCGTCTAGAGCATGATATGGCAGTCTCTCTGTCGGAATCTCCTAAATTGTCCAAATCACTGAAATCCAGTACTGCATCTTTCAACACTTTATAAACTGACTTTTTACCAATTCCAAATAAGGAAGATGAAGTGTCACACCTAGAGAGAGCATGTACGGCAGGAAGAACTCTGCAAATGATTTCAGGGAGAAACGAACACAGTTGGTGAATTGGCAAATACCTCCGATTATCTTTTATAGTACCAATATTTCCCATTTGGACCCAAAAATCACTCGTGTTTGTCATCTGCTTGAAAAAATGAATACAGAGAACAATGACGTCTGTATCAGATGATTTTATAATAATCCTGCCTTTCTTTCCTAATTCCTTCAGTCTTCTGTCTGCATGTAAAGCCTGAAGGATCGTGCGTGTGTCTGTCTCTTTCTGAGTACTGAACAATTCAGGACATTCAACGACTTCCTGATCAGAAATAACTTTAGCAATTTCAGCATCTTCAAAAGAACCTGCCATATAATAAGTATGTCCAGGGAGCACTAATAAAGGGTTGCTTTTAATGAACTTGACCAGGAAGTCACCAAAAAATTTAATGAGAGCCTGCTTGTTTTCTTTAACAGAAAGAAATTTCTTCTAGTCGGGGACATTTCTTCCATCTATTCTTTGCATAAGCAGTGACTTAGGTACGACGCTCTCTTTCAGCTGACTTAATGGAGTGTTTTACATCATATCGATCAAAAACATCGGCTACTGTGTGTGCTTTTGTAAAACAACTGGCTAAATAACTGCAATAATCAAGTGCAAGATCTCCAAAGGTTTTATGTTTCTTTGCATCCATGCACTGAACTATAGCCATACCGTCTCTAATGTACGTTGTCAACGAAGGGTCAAAATCTGGCAAAGAAAGAACCGGCGATACTTCATTTTTAAACTGTTTTACTAGATCTGATTTACAAGATTTCCTCATTGTTCCATCTTCATGGAACAAAGAAACAGGAATAGGCCCAAGTGGAAGTGAGAGAATACTGTCAATCGTGACATCATCTCTACTGTTAGCCAAAAACAGAGCACGCCTGAAAACAATTTCTGGATTGATATGGCCGGTTATGATTTCGCCAGATTTACACTTAAGGGTTGTCTTGGCGTTCATGTGTTCAAATGTTTTCAATTTGGACTTGGTAATAAGACTATAGAAGCTCCCGGAATGGTCTAAAGAAAGCGCACTGTTAACAAATTTTTTGCACATAGTTTCCCCTTCGTTGACAGCAGAAAGCAAAGAATCCTGTACTTCTCTAGTAGCATGCATGCCTGTAGAGATATTAAGGAGACAAGGTGGGTGGGCATCTATATCAAAGGGATCAGTCATGGTTTGGTTCAAATGGTTAACTATTGCTTGTACTTGTTCTTCGTCTCGCTTCAATGCTGTTTGTTTAATTTCTTCATGCGAATCGTCACTTTTGTTTGTAATACCTCCTCTGTCATTCATTGCATTACTAAAGGACGCTAAGAAATGACGAGTCAGAGTCCACCTTACCAGAGCAGATTTCTGATTTGTTATAGCAACGATACACCCTGAACCCTTTGAATCTTTTATGACGGTTTTTTCAGTGCCCATATCACTCCAAATACCATTGAATGTGCCTAATTTTTGTCTGATAGAAAACTCTCCTTGTTTAAAAGCTGATTCGATCTCTGCTGGTAGTTCGAGCATATCAAGAATATTTACAGGCATCCATCTAGAGTAATTTGTACGGTTGGTAATAAAAAAATAGGGCAGCATTTTTGATGAAGACATCAAATGTGCCGACCAATTACCTTCTTGTTCTGCTCGTACATTCGACAACATAATTTGGACGGCAACCAGGAACATGTCCCAATATTTGAAAGTAGGTGATGTATCGTGTCCCCATTCTCTAAACCTACCGATTAGAGGCTGTAAATGGTCTTCAAACAATTTTTCCAGTCTAGTTATAATTACTGAGGCTTCGTCCGTTTGATCACAGATACTTGTATGGAACTCTAACAACACATTCCAGAACGCAGATGGTATCTGATCGAAGTAATCAAAGGTCCTACACCAGTGTATGAATACCGAGATAAAAAGAACTTCTAGGGCTTAAAACACAAGTGTGAACCCTCTGACAGCCCTGTTAAACTCTTTACCAGTCAACATTAGTTCAGCTGTATTTCCAGCATACACACCAGAATACACCAACAAATCGCGAAGACCGCCATCGGCCCAAAGTTTCCCGATAGAGGCTAAGAAACACGACAGGCTGTGGAAACCACCAAGCCTGAGAATATGGCGATTAAAAATGTCCGGCTTCGACCATTTGACTTGTTGTGCAATTGCATAGAGTTGCTGGTCGAACGTTTGAATAGCGTAATCCTGTCCAGCATCATTAGACATGTCAAGACATTTCTTCATGGCAGTATACACTATGGCCATATCATTTGGTTTAGCATCTATAATTGGAGGATATGCTACAACAGTAACATCGGCGCCCTTTTTTGACAAAAGACAATTGTACCCGGTCCAAAAAGGAATCTTTTGTTCAGTTGCTTTCATATTCATTGGGAGCTCTATAATATCCCTTGACAAAAGTCTGGAGAAAATCCATATCTGGTCAACATCATTAATCTTTTTATGATCACATAATTGAAGTTTATCGAAAGCATCCGATCGTCGTGATGGTTCTGATCTACATTTTGGTTTAGAGTAAGGAATCGCATCGGTCAATGATGCTGTTGCATCATCTATAGCCAAAGATCGCTCAATTCCTCGCTTGATTCGTTCTGAACCATAGTCATAAACGCCAGCTGATTTAGTTTGAAATACAGCCCTAGCAAGAGAATGGAAGGTATTTTTTCCATCTAATGTCTCGGCGTTAATGTCAATATTATCGGAACCCTCTTGAATTAACCGACCTCCTTCTGAAATGGATCGAATACCTCCTAGGATGTATCGATCGCCACTGATACGACTGATTTCATGGTTTGCAACACTGGTAAGGTATCTGCGCAATTCAGTGTATGTAACGCAAAACCCATGCGCGTTCAGAATTTCAATAAGGCGCTTCGACCCAAACTCGTGGTAAACTTGAATTGCAAGACCAAGATGAAGAGGTGTAAGGATACAACGACTAGTTGCAACAATACATTCCGTTAAAGCCAAACGTTTCCTCACACTTTCTGTTTTGATATTAGAAGGAACAGTGAAAGTGCTAAAAGCCTTTTCGTCCGTAATCCAACTAAGTAGTTTGACCAAAGAATCGGGCATTGACTGTAACGAATTTTCGAATGATACCTCCGTTGAAGTTTGGTAGTGTTCTTTAAAGAATCTTACTTTGTCAATGTCTCTGCGAATTATACTTGCTACTGAATAAATGAGTTGGTCATCCGTTTGTTCGCTATACATTCGACTCGTTTGTTTTTCTTTTGACCATTTTAACTCTGCTTTCAAATTACTGGCTGCCTTGATTGCATCCCCTAGTGTTATATTACTACTCATAATAATGTTGGACTTACCCTGGCCTTGTTGCGATTGAATGACAATAGAATCACCATAATGATTTTCTAAATGTCGCTGCAGTTTCCTCGTTGTAAAGCTTTTAGGCATATTTTCGGGTAGGTATGATACAAACTTCTTAATTAAAGAGGATAATAGAAATGCTTTTTTATTTTTTAATAAATCATCATTTATATTAGTAATTAATTTGGAAAAAGCAGCTGTATTTATTGATTCGGATTCTGAAGTTGAGTTAGCACTGACTTCAATATCTTGTTTTAAATACATTAGATACTTTATTATGCACTGGTTATGGTACAAAGCTTGTTCTTTAAAATTGTCTTGATTAATTTTATGTAGCAAGTTTGAATCACCGTTATAGTTTGCAGCGTTTGTAAGGCGAGTAACCCTTTCGTCTGATTCAATTTTCAAAAGTTTTTTGTCTTGCTTGTAGCTCTTTTTATTGCAAAATATACAAGCACTCCAATTGGTAGGAGAAGACATAGACCGAGTTAAGATACTCGTGACTTGACTGTCCTGGTTTGAACAGTCCGCTAAGTCATCATCTTGTCTCTTAGTAAACACCGCAATGTTATGTTCACTTGTATAAGATTTGTAGCAACTTTTATGATAAACCATTTCCAAATTTTCCTTCGGTATATCATTGAATGAATCATATTCACTTATCAATTTCAAGTAAATATCATCTTTACGCCTACCAACTGCAGCAAAAAACCGCGATTTACTGTTGTCAGTAAATAAAACAACTGTTTCTTTACTGCTTCTCTGGCAAATTACACATTTTTCTAAGATTAAGCTCTTTTTCAGCCGCTTTGCAGTACTAGGACCAAGTTTCAACGGACTTCCCAGTTGTGCCATCTTTTGGGATTTTGTCAGATCTCAATTTCTAAAAATAACTTCCAACTAAAAAAAAATATTTTCTTCTCAAATTAATAAAACCTTATCAACACAACCTCAAAATAGAACAAACAACAAAAAAAATCAAAGAAACCAAGAACCTTGAATCAATACAAGTAAAATCAATTGATGATTGCTATATATTAATAAAACCTTGTGGTGCGCTCGAAATTCAAAATCAATAAGGTAATAATATTCAGATCAGCCGGAGACCTGACACGACTATCCGGAAAATTAAGTAAGATTATAATTTAATAGTGAATATTTTGGATGCTATTTTAAGTCTTGTTGAGAAATTTTATATGATCAAAAATTATGTCACTGAAAAGAGTATTTGCTGAACTTTCACGTTGTATAAATTAATTAATAATTTATAGATTAGGTGCATTCCTGCAAAGTATTGATGAAATCTTGTGAAGCGACAAAATGTTACAAGTTTCAGTGCTTTGTATCTTCATGTTTTTTTAAAAAAAGACTTATGATGTTAGGTTTTTTTGCTTAATGAATAACATGTTATATGTGATAATTGAATCCAATACGAATTACATATATTTGGCAACGATTTTTAAACAACCGGTAAAAATTACATGCCTCGTAGAGTCCACATTTCAAGTCAGTTTTGCTAACCAAACGTCAAATTAAAAAAAACTGCACCATACGACTTTTTGACGACCAGTCTAAAATAAAAGTAAAATCATTTCTCTAGATGTATACCAATTTTTAGCCGTGTATTATAAAGTGAAATTAAACTCTGTTAATACTCGCTGTTTTACTAATCCGTCACCGCACTAATACAAACCCATATGAAAGGATGTTCATTCAATACGTTTCTTTACTACGTAGTAATGAACCAACCATGTTGTACTCGAACAACATGAATGTTTGTCAATGCATACGCAATGTAGAGACCTTTACATATTTTTAACTTTATTTTAAATGCCTGACTTTCATTTGTGTCATTTGGGATTTTTTCCTAACAAAATACCAATAATTGATCTAAAAAAAATTGCAAACATAAAACCAGACAGCTATACATTTTTTTTTGGCGAAACATAAATGCATACCCTAGACATAATTGACATTAAAGAATAAATGAACGTTTGTATTTATACTTGCTTTAAGAACTAAGCATGCTAACACTGAAGTGCAATACCATATCTTGCTTTTCAACATCATCACCTTAAACTTAAAAAACAAATCAACTTTTTAGTGAAGTATAATGACACACGTAGAACATATCAAGAGTTATAATTTGTTTACCATTTGTAAAACAATACTCATTCAATGGTAATTGAACATGGATGTAATTGCTGCATAATTTACAATTAAAGATAAATGTCAATGCTAGGGATCAAATTGTCCCTTGAATCCCCATTATAGGTTCCCTCCAAAACGGACGCTTCGGATTCTTGATTCTTTTGTGTCCTAATAAAAACTAGGAGTACAAAGCGGGTAAAAAAATTAGACTTTTTACCCGCTTTGTACTAACATGAACAACACGACGGGTGCAACATGTGGAGCAGAATCACTCCCAGTTTTTGGTTGGGTTTGTGTTGCAAAGTTTTTATTTTTCTATGTTGTGTTTTGTGTACTATTGTTTGTCTGTTTGTCGTTTTCCTTTTTAGCCATGGCGTTGTCAGTTTATGTTCAATTTATGAGTTTGAATCTCCCTCTCGTATCTTTCGCCCCTTTTATATGATACTGCTATATACCAGAGCTCAAATGCAGTGGTTATAAGCAATATTATATATGCAACCGTACGGACGTCAACAGTTAGAAATACTCAAAAGTAAAGTTGTCTATAAAAAGACTCCAATACGAATAAATGTGATTAAATTCAAACGAGTATACTTATGGCCTTATTAATAACAAAAGCAATTGATAAAAACACAATACAAGAGACATGAACCAACGACAACCACTGAATAACAGGCTTCTAACTTGGGATAGGACAAATGTGGCGGTGTTAAACATGTGTGTGAACGCTCGACGAAAACGCTAACCTGGACAGTGGTGTAAAAAAAAAAACCTGAAGAACAAGCTATAAATACGGTAGTTAACTTAAAGATCGATACGCAGCATAAAAGTAACAAATATGAAACAACATATATCAAGCTTCGAAATATGAGTACTCACAATTTCTGAAAGCTATTTAAAAACCAATTTCAACTACTAAAAGTAATAAATATATTGTGTTTTGCCAGACTAAAAACTGTCGAATATTCAAACATTTCAAAGTAGATTGAACAAGACTGAGTACGAATAAAGATGGCAGATGTAAGAGTTAACGGTAAATTAAAAAAAATGATTATACTGCCACCGTAATATTTCATTATTAAATATACAAATATACGAACTTGCATATTTTTTTGATTGCATAAAAGGTAGATATAGGAAGATGTGGTATGAGTGCCAATGAGAAAATTCTCCATCCAAGTAACGATTTATAAAAATAAACCGTTATAGGTCAAGGTACAGCCTTCAACACGGAGCCTTGGCTCACACCGAAAAGCAAGCTATAATCTATAAGCTATAAGCTAAAGGGCCCCAAAAATTACTAGTGTAAAACCATTCAAACGGGAAAACCAACGGTCTAATCTATATAAACACGAGAAACGCGAAACATTTATGAACCACATAAACAGACGACAATCACTGAACATCAGTGTTCACCATCACACCGATTTTGTCATTTGAAAAGGGACTTACCGATTAAAATTTTCCTTGGAATTTGTTATTTGGTTATTTTACTTTTTACAGCAACTTGATATATTATAGCGGTCAGTTTCTATTGGTTATCTATATGTTGTCTGGAAATAACCACTGAACCTTGGCAGAAAAACTGAAATAAGATTCCCGCTACAACTTTACATATAAGTGGTGCAGTAAATGAATTCATGTCATACAGTGACCGTGAACCATTTCGAATTTGAACATTTAATTTGTACAAAATTCATATAACAAAATGTTTAATGCTGATTAAAGACTAACTTTCAAAAGATATGTAGAAAAAAATCACCAAATTTCCAGTGTCTATGCGGGCTATCGATGTAAAGACCTAAGGCAGATGAAGACACGATTCATACCCCTACACATGAACCCCAACTTGATATATGTTATGTGTGAATAAACTCATCATATATACCAGGATTTAAATATTGTATTAGCGCCAGACGCGCGTTTCTTCTACAAAAGACTCAAAAACTAACATTAGCGCGTCGACAAAACATGTTGGCTACTGATGGGTTACAATTTAGATGTATATTTGAAAAGGAAATGATTACATTCAATTTGTCCATATTTGTTTTATAAATATAGTATGATTTCATATGTTGTAATGCATATCTTTACAAATGTTTATTCGCAAATTCATATTCGCAAAAATCAAGATATGCGTAGAATTAGGCTTCTTGCAAGGTAATGCGGTATCATTCTTATTATATACACTTAGAAATAAGTTTGAAAATGTCTTGTTTTGTAAATTACGGATAATATTCAGATGACTGATAAATTAAAAGACGTTTTATGCTAAATTTGTATTTCTCTAACCAATTACATGTGATTTATTAATGCATCGTAGAACATGATAACATTGGTACCTAATTAAGAAAAGACTTTAATGTTGTAAAGATATCAACACAATATTTTAAGTTATAGATACAATGGATAAGCGTTCATTCATGAAAAACGAACAACTCCCCCTCGAGGCTCATAGTATCTTTTTTTCAAGAATCAACGCTTATTCATTGCATCTATAATACAGAATTGCTTACAGCACACAATAGCGACACTTTATTTGAATTATATATATACTGTACAGCTCGATCCATTCACATAAGATATACTTTTATTTAAAATCAGATATATGTATATAAACAAATGTCTTTTTACTGATTAGGAGACGATGTGTAAATATATAGTTATGTTTACCTTGTTGGTCTTTTAGCAACCTCTATTGTGACTGGCTCTCTCTAAGTAATGTTAAAAGCATGTAACGGACACGGACTTCTACCTAACTATCTATGCCGGAGAAAATGTATTAAAATTCACATATTTCTGTCTATGGTTGCTACGTCACAGCTACTATATTTTCTTTACATCTTCGTTATGGCACAGTGACAAAAATTTGCTACATCTTCTGAAAGATCAAGAGAAGTGTTTCTTTCAATTTTTCAATCCAATATTTTAAAGGACATATGATACAGTAGCAGGGGCAGATAATAACGTTTTCAAAACTTGTCGTGTTGTTTTCGCGACCTTGTTAATCAGAACGTTGTAATCGCGATGTTTCAAATGAGAAAAATTACGTTTAACGACGTCGCTTTAGTTGTAGTTACATTTTCGGAAAATGACTGATGTCATAAATCCGATTGCGTAAATTTGAAAAAAGTACCTTCTAAGAAAATCGATCATATCACGAAAATTATTATATTTATTCATTATTAATGATGTCAACAGTATTAACTTGAAATATGAAAATAATAAAATCCACATTCATAATGTTGACAGTCTTTTAGTTCATATAGAAAATGAATAAAACTATGTAAATAATGATATGTCGCTGAGACATAAACCTAACTACACAAAAAGCCCAATAAGTAATTTAGATATCATCGAACTGTCTTGATCACAATATAGTGACTACACCATTGGGCAAACTCTAAATCGTATGGAGAATTTTACGGATAAATTAAAGATAAACTATCAACAAAATGACATAATAACATGCTACATAAAGACAACGCATCATACTATTCCTGACTTTGAATAGATGCATAAAAAAATGTTTCACTGAATTTTTAGAATTTAACCCAAAGGAATACATATGTGTATGAAGAAGAACCGTCTAATAAAAAAGACACAGTTATTAGTCCCGAATTATAGACCAAATACAAAAACAAACCGGCTGATGTGCTAAGCATATACCCTATTTCCATATTGAGAGAAAAAAATGTTTGGCACACGGGAATTAGGTATCTGACAGATCAGAAAAGTGTTCACACATTGCAACTCATTGATGTTAAATTACTGACCAAATACGATGTGTTTCTGTAAGGTAGTTTTGCAGATAAGAAAACACATATGTATTGGGCCGGATAAATAATGTTGCTACACTCACCCCTAGATTGGAAGTATAATACAGACAAATAAGTCAATAATTATCTGTACCGTAATAAAAAAAATATCCTGAAGACAAGCTTAGGTAAATTATCTATTGATACAGAATCATTCAATTTCATGCTTTAATATCGACTGCTGTACTTTCTATGAAATGTTATACTACAATGTAATGTAATGAGACAACTACGATATGAATATGCTCTCGAAACAGCTCCAAATATTCACTTTTTAAACATGTTCAGAGTAGTTTCTAAGCTGACCCGAGTAATGTGGGTATGGTTTGGTGTTCAAATAATGCCTATATAATCGTTAGATTTCTTGTTTTCTTATTTCACATTTTCATGTCGGTTTTGTTTTTAAAGCTGACTATACGGTGTGACTATTTATCTCTTTTTTTGTGTGTCAAAAGACGTACGGTGAAATTTAATTGCGTTTGTCTTCATCATTTGTACTATGGTTGATAGTTGTCTCATTGCAAATCATACTAACATTTTCATATTTTCCCACTTACGATATAACTGTTTACCATTTTGTCATGTCTGGGCCTTTTGAATAATTTGAAATATGTTCAAGCTGTGTTGTCTACATGAATTGTAGAATTAATGTCGGACGAAGATGCAAATTAATTTTCTCATTAGATTTATATTTGTTGTTTCCGAACATTTTATACAAGAGTAATTTACAAGAATACTTTTCTATCCAATTTTCGTAACAATTTATAAAGGTTTGGCAATATTTATTGCTATTGACTACCTCTTTAATTTTCATATTTAGCATTGCTTTAAAAAAACATGCCTATACCAAGGAACTGAACAGCGGGGAAGATATCACGACGTTATTGCAAATAAAACTTATTTCAATGTAGTTAACCGTGTTATTTGGGAAACATCCCGTTTGCTATTAAAATTCAAGGTTTATTGCTTTTATTGAAAAAATCAAGCACACGGACCCCACTCGTTTACTGTCCAGTCAATCAAGTAATGTTAAAAGAACGCTCCGCCAAAATGTAAAGAAAAAATCAACGATCAATTTTTTTCTGCACTTCTGAAAAGACGTAAAAGATTGTTAATTTCTTTATTTCACCAATAGTAATATAAATTCAAAAAATAATAAGTTGATTAAACCTTAAATTTGTTACAACATGCTAATGCCGTGGACCAAGGGAACATTTTACAAACAAAAACGGTTAAATTATGACTGTTCGTTTAAAAGTATTGTCACTTTTCTTAAAAGTTATTATTTATGAAATATCAGGATTTCTCCTTTAAATATGCAAATTTCGAACCAAATTCCCTCAAAAGTAAGTTATGAAGGTATATTTTTCTTTGCATATTTAAAAAGTTCACATTGAAATTGACCTTCTACCAAAATTTCAAGAAAAAATCAACGAGGGATCTCTACTGTATCGTATGCCCTGTAGGGGTTCAAATACCCCTTTTGTAATATATATCGGCGCTAGCCTTGAGGCACTAAGACATAAATCTAGCCTTTAATGCTGATGTTGTGAGTTTTAACCCCTCCTATGTTTCTGTACAGTAGCATATTATTTTGTATAATAACGACACAAAACGATTGTGCTTTAAGGAACACACTTTATTGTTACAAAAAAAGTAATAACGAATTAAACAAAATAATAAAAAATCGATGACCAGTATTGATACACATTTCATTAATGACACGTCCTTAAATTTGGTATGATGGACAACCAGCAAAAATTGACTAAGAACGCATCAAAAAGAGCGGAGTGCAACTGGATAAATTTTGGTTAAGTAAACTTGGATTTAGGGAAATATGATTACATATTTTTTTATCTTTGTCATGTATTCAAATGAATGGATTTTCGTCTCGATGTGTAAGCATCACTCGTTCAATTTGTCAAGGATCAGAATCGTACTAATGTTATATACTCTTCAAACGGATCCACTTGCAGCATTAACTTGAATTAACTCATATATAGAAAATAACATCTTCCGACTTCAAACGGAAATTAAATTAAAGCACAGTGAAATCTGTTTGTTAACGATACGCAACTGTATTATAAAATGAGTAGTCTTTCAAAGAAACACTAAAAGCGCTACACTTCACAAACATGCTTCAGGGGCTAGAATAAAAATCGAAGTCTTTTGGTATGTATTTTGGCAAATTTAAACAAAATTAGATGGACCAAAAAGGACTATTAAAGCGTAGATATAGATCAGAAAATATATGCAAGTTGAAAAGGTTCTTAAACCAAGACCTCTTAAACTGTGTTATCGGGCCTAAGAGATGGAATCAGTAGATATAGAATCTGTAATTTGGCAACTTCCTTGAATGATTTAATTATCAAATCGTGTGTACGGTTTTTGAATAAGTAATTGAAAAGAGAGAAGTCTTATAATCCTCATACTTAAAACAATAAACAAATATATTAAAACATCGACTACATTGTCTTGAATAGAGCTTTGTTTACAAAAATTGAATTTGTTGTTTAAGGTCATGAACGATATAAATGATGAATTAAAGCGTAAATTCCAACAACTAATACACCGACGTTCATCACATGCAATGAATTTTGATCGAAAAAAAAAATGTTTGTTGGATTGTTTTTAGTCAGTATTCATCAATCTGGTTGATCAAATATCAAAAGTTAGTCAAACGTAGTAGTTTTTTAGACTGAGATAACACTATTCACAATTATACGTCAAAGTAGTCTTTCCACCATACTAGATTTGGTTCATATAGTTCGTGGGCTGATCAAGATTATTTTAGCGATGTTCTGATGATATACAGTGCATGTAACCATTCAAAATCAAAGCTAGATCTGGCATATTTTGGTGTATCTATACCATTATTACTTATATTGGAAATTGCCATTAGAAGTTGATTATCGTCACCTGAAATTCTATTTAAATTCATGAGAAAATTGTATCGTTATTTTGTTCTCCTTGAGATTTATATATTATATTGTTGAAATAGTATTCAATCGATTGTAAAAGAGAAAAAAATAAAGGAGTTCATATCCTGAGTATTGCGGAGAACTTCATGATTAATGCTACAGATCCTGTGTACCCCTTTTCAGCTAAATACAATTGCAATGCAATACGGTGGTCTATAACTTTCACTTCATTTAAACAATAGTGGATAGTTTTTCACTGGCAATCATACCACATCTCCTCAGTTTTAAAGTTAGCTTTTTCTGACGAACATCACAATGTTGAAGGAATTATTGTCATACATTGAAGTAACGGATAATAAAAATGTATCAAAAGTTTATTCGATTCAAATATAATGCATTGGTAGTAGATTGTATGCGCTTTTAAAAATACAAGAATGTTGTTTTATATGCTGCTGCTTTGAAATACACGAACACAATATAGCTGATATTACAATATCTTGATGAAGTTTCTTCAAATTATGAATGCTTATCATTACCAAGAGATGCAAACGATACCAAAGAAACAATCTCATCCGTTTGTTGGTTTATTCGTATTTTGCATCGTGTAAATAAAGATATTCTAAATTTTACTGAAGATTATAGGAAGTGAACAAAAATAATAACACATAAATTAATAATAAAATCACAAGAAACATTAAACTACATGTATAGCTAACATTAATGTTTAATACTTCGTAGCACCACGTTTTTTTTTAGAAAGGCAATGTATTAAACAGTTCCATTTAAAAAATAAATGTTTTAAGTAAAGACACATCTTTATCTGTAATTGCACATTTTACATAATTGATTCAAAGAATGACAAAATAATGGAACATGCAATATTAAGATAATAAAACAAATGTTTCATTTTATAATTTTTGCTATTATACTGAACTCTGCCGATTTCGGAATCTGGAGAACGGAAAACGACAACTTCTGCAATTTCATTATACATATAAATGACTAATAATATAAATATAATGATTTTAATGCAATATTATCATGTATATGAAACAACTGTGTGTGAATATATATATATATATATATATATATATATATATATATATATATATATATATTTCATTTTTATGATTAAGTTGAACCATTCACGTAAAACAAAAATGATAGTGTATTACTTGTGTATTGGCAAAACATAATGTTATTGGTTGCTTAAGGGTGACCTAAAATTGAGACATTTTTACATTTGACAGGTATGTAAATTTGCGTGAACATACTGCATTACCTTTTTAAAAATATACGTGTAATCTGCCTGAGATATTACCTGTGTTTTACATCTATGAGTACACACACGAAATGTTTTGTGAAATGTTTTCATTTAAACCGATAAAACAAAAACAGTATTCCAAAGTTCTTTACTCGTTTGTTCAGATTGTAAATAGGAGAATTCTTAATATGTAAACATATACAATCAGGAGATATGCTACATGGAAAATATAAAATAGTCCATAATAAAACACAGTATGTATGACTGGAATAATTTATAATTCAGTCCCAGTCAGCTTATTGTATCCTAGCGATTTGAGATGATATTTGCGATAAATTTGTTTAAACTTACATTTTAGATTGAACAGGGAAGTCCCTAATTTGCTCACTGTACATGACTTAAAGTAGATTTTTATCTCTGAATGTAGTTTTTGAGACTATTTTAATAGGACGTTAGTAAAAGTCAAACGCATTCTGCTATAGTTGTAGCTAATTTGTTATCCTTCTGATTACGTTCACAACTTTCATGCTTATGTCTGAAAGAAACCTTAACGTTAACTAACAGTTCCTACCTGACAATCATTTGTCTTTATTTTGGGTTCTATTTCCTGCTCTCGCAATCAAACCAATGGAGCGTGATAAGATAGATTAGGGAAATTACATGAACCTCATTATTAGATAAACACTTCAGATTTGACTATCATATCATTACAGTCCAGAGTCTATGACATACTAGACGATTTCAATTTAAAATTATTATTTTCTCATCTGAGCAACAAAAATATGGAGTATTGTAATATACTATCTTTTGCTCATAATACTTAAATAAACTTAATTTATAATTATTTTAATTAATTTTAAATGCTACACACACTTCATTCAACGTCCTTGGTGTATGAAATGATTTAGCCTTGTTTTTCTTTAATAAAGAACTGACTCTATTTTAAAAGAGTAAAATCCATTTTATTCCTTTTTATAAGCTTTTTCAATGTTTACCATAAATGAATGCAGATTTCATAAAGAAACACACAATTTTTACAATCTTCCATGCTTTTATTCTTATAATTGATTAAACTTACATTTAGTGTTCGGGGAATTTCCCAAAATATATGAAAGTTGTAAATATTTGTGGTAAAAATGTATGTGACAACTTTTTATTCGGGAATTTCCCCGAAATCACTTTCAACATTAATTAAAACTTTTGGTAGCATAGCTATGTGACAAGCAGATCTTAAACACATTTCGGGAAAAATCCCGAAAAAATAATCTAAATGTAAAATGTATAAAGCATATATGTCTTCAAACATTTCGTGAATTACCCCGATTACCCAACATATAAATATGCTATAACTTATAACTTATGACTAATGATTTCTTTTCAAATTTCGGGAAAAAGCCCCAAAAAACTAAATCACTTATCAAGCATGCTTTTGTTGAATAGATTTCTTTAACCATTTCCGGTAAAATCCCGAAACCAAATTTACAAAAATTTATGTTACAGATTTCTTCAAACATATCGGGAAAAATCCCGAAAAAAACAAAATCTATATGCAAGATTTTAAATACTTCGGGATTTATCCCAAAAACCCAACGTATATGCTAGAACTCATGACTAATAATTTATTTTCACATTTCGGGAAAAATCCCGATAAAATAAATCTATTATCAGGCACACACTTGTTGCATAGATTTTTTTTACCCATTTCGGGAAAAATCCCGAAATAAAACTACAAGCAAAAATTATGCTACAGATTTCTTAAACATATTGGGAAAAATCCTGAAAAAGAAAATCTTTAAGATTTTACAACACAGAATTTTGATACATTTGAAAAGTTTTTATGTAAGTTTGTTTCCAACATTTGTTGAAATTTGATGATTAATAAAAGAAAATGTGTCAAATAGAAAAAAATATGAGATAAGTGCATATTACAAATTAAACATAAATATAATATTCCATTAAATAAACTGTTAACACAGATATAAATCTTATCTTTATGTATTTTTTGTTGTAAAATTCAAATGTGGAAATAAAATGGCATTACTTAAACTTATAAACTATGCAAAATAATTAAAATAGATGTACTAGGATTGAAAGAGCAAGGTTTTAAAAATTATTTCTCAATTAAAAAGACAAAGATTGATAGATATGGTATAAAATAATTCATATATGCAATTACTACGCACTAGTTAACTAATAAACTCACATATAGAACTACAATCACAACAATGTTTTATAAATAACGGTTCCATTTATGGAGATAAAAGGTACCAACAAGATTTTCAGGATGTATAAAATAGAGAATGGAAATGGGGAATGTGTCAAAGAGACAACAACTCCACCATAGAGCAGACAACAGCCGAAGGCCACCAATGGGTCTTCAATGCAGCGAGAAACTCCCGCACCTGCAGGCGTCCTTCAGCTGGCCCCTAAACAAATATGTATACTAGTTCAGTGATAATGGACGTCATACTAAACTCCAAATTATACAAATTATGCCTATACAAATAAGATGATAATGCATTATTACATTTATACCAAAAAACACAACAGTTTGAAAGATATCAGAAAGTCTGCAGTCCTTTAAACTACAAAATGAACTATGTTTGGCATTCTTTTCCTCTTGTTTATCTTCATATCTGTGTCTTTTAAGACTCTCGTCAATTTGTCCTCCAAGATTTCTATGTATCCTACAAAGAAAAGTCACTTCAAGTTCAATATTTTAAAGTCCTTCAGGCATATTATTCATGATTGTTTTTGTCAACATATTTTGTCCTTTCTTATAATAGATGATTTTGTTATCACAGGACCTTTCATAGCTTACTGTTTGTCATTTGTTTTGTTCAATATTTGAAGCCATATCACACTGATGATATTTAAATATTGTTCTTATTAAGGCAGTTGTATCCTTAGTAATCATACTGCATCTTTTTTTTCTAATCTGGTGTTCTCATTTTTTGATACATATGTTACTTTACCGATTATTACCTGCAAACAAATGGGGAAAACTGGAAAAGTTTTAAAAAATAAAACATTTTTTTTTTACTTTTAGAGTTAGCATTAGGATTAGCAATCATACTACAGATATCTTCTTCTCTAAAAGAGAGGCAAAGTTCTAATCCTATTAATTTAATTATGTTACTTTACCAATAATTGTCTTAAAACAAACAAGGCAAATTTAAATGGTTTTAAGAAAAATTTGTAAGGGGTTCCTTAGAACCCAGTGTTAAGGAACCCAGTGTCTCGCCTGTGATTGCAGCTGTCAATGTAAAGCTGACTTTAACAGTGAGCACAGATTTTACTTGAAAAGACTCAACATTAGACTGTACTTAACTGTACTTGACTTTTGTCTACAATTTAACCTAATGAGTCTAATACAGTACTTGATAATCTTGGTAAGGTCTTGCCAAATGCTCAACCAGTCTAGACCAGTCTCTACTTAGTCTTGACCAATCTCAACTCAGTCTCGACCAGTCTTGACCCAGTCCCCACCCGTCTTGACCTTTAAAGGAGTAAGTTCGGTAAGGGTCATATTAGGCCCCGATAATTAAGTTTAATTTTTCAAGATAATCAATGTTTTAAAGGGATAAAAAGACATGTGAGAAAGTTGAATAGAACTTTTTTGTCAAAGTTGTAGTTTTAAAGTGATGCTTTGTACATCCCAAATAGGTCAAAAATAGAGATTTTTGCGAAATTTGACCAAATCGTCCAGATTTCAAACAAATTAAGGCCTAGGAAACATAGAGTGCAGGCGTCGACCAACTAAATACTTAAGTCAGATATGTTAAATGTGATAACAAACATTTTGTTAAAAAAAGCTTTTTTGTCGACGCATGCGCTCTATGTTTCCTGTCCAAAAAATCATTGGAAATTTACCCGTTTTCATTGAATTTTTGTTGAAAATCAAAGTGAGTGCTATCTGTGATGTCATGAATAGAACAATGTAGAACGCAAGTACGTAAATTTTCAACAAAAAGACATATTTTCTATCTAGTCATTGTATTAGCTATGATTCATTGTGATATTGGTCAATAAATCCTAATTTGAAATTGTAGCTATAAATAGGGGCTGTTTTAGGGTGTTATGGAACCTACTCCTTTAGTCTCGACTGGTCATAAATCAGCCCATCTATATCAATTATGTATTGATAAGGTTATTTTATAGTTTGGTTTATTGCTGTCAAACTTAAGGATTTAATTAATAGGTATAAAAGCTACAATGTTCAGTTTGAACCAAATTCTGACAGTCACCTTTAAAAATTTCTATATCTTTTTCAAATCAACCTGGATTTTGAAAAAAATCTAAAGCTCACGATCATCATTTTTGCTTTTTAAAATTTCTATTTTTCTATCATAAAATTAAAGAAAGAAAAAATCACTCACAGGCAATAAATCAACTGAAGATTTTGGCCATGTGACTTATTTGTAGATGTTATGGTGTTGATCATTTTTATTATTCAAACTGTTTCCCTCTCTTTACTATAGTTTTCAATAGGGCTAACAACAAAAAAGATGTGTTTCGATTTGCTGTCCAACCCTAATTTATCGGCTCTGACAAAAAAATCAAAATCAAAAATTCTTCCTTAGCATATGTCCCTAATTTGCACTATTTGTGAACATGAATGCTAATAAACAATTGGCCAGCTAATGTGTGCATGCAGTACACTTGATTATATAAATACAACCATAAATCTAATATATATACATGATATACAAACATTCATGACAGTTTCAAACTTCAAAACATTTGAACAAAAGTTCAAAGAACTTCACTATGAAATTAGTAAGAAAATATCCTGACCTACTGACCCTATATTTTTTTTTACATGCAACTGGAAACACACCATGCACACATACATGACATAATATTTTTTTGGCATAGAAAATATTTCAACAAGAGTGCAATACATTCACAAATGTCATGCCTGCTTTACTTATGATTGAAAATATGACGCTTTTACTACAATTATCGCATAAACTTGATCCATAAATGATCCATGAAAATGAAGTCACGGTCAGTTTAACCAGTCAAGCAAATACAGCTTACAATCATTTCATACACCAATATAGTGGCCTTATTGCTACTATTATCTGAGAGATAGACCCAACCACAAAAACTAAACATTGTGCAATGAACCAGGAAATTGAGGTCAAGGTCAGATGATACCTGTCAGTTGCACATGTATACCTTACAATCACTCCATACACCAAATATATGATCTACTGCTTAAAGGATATGGATAAGGACTTGACCACCTTACTTGTCCGAATGGAATTGTAACTTGTCCAAAAAAAATCTTAATATTAACCTTTTTTGCATTTTAAGCTGATTCAATGAACAAAATGAGTTAAAACAATGGAACAGAATTTGATTATTATCTCTTGATATCCTTTTTAAAATATGAGTCGAGAACAACTAAATCTAGTATTCATCAAAACCAAAGTCTCATCCGACTCAGCACATGAGGCACAGTCTTGTATGCCTGCTAGTCATAATACACTCATTTGGTTTGTATCCTGGTCTTTTATGTTAAAAATATTGATGATTATGATTGATGCCCTACTACCAGTCAGGGGACATATTGAAATAAGTGATTTTTAAATCACTTATTTAAGTAGCAAATTCAAAGTTTTGTCACAAATTGTGATTTAGAAGTTTTACCAAAATTTAGACACATATATAGGTTTAGATAATATCTTTTCATTTAAATAGTAAAATTGAAAAAAATGAACTTTTTGCTTCTTTTAAGCAGCAAGGTTTATGCCTTCGATGCAATCATTTAGCTGCAAATTCTATTTTAGTTGTAAAAATGCTATAAAAATGGCTTTACATAATGAACTGATACTTTCTTAACAGATTTTTCCCAGCAGTGGGAGTATTTTTCCTGTAAAATTCAAGGTTTCATCTTATAGATTATGTAAGAAAATTATACTGTTTGCGAAATGTTGAAATTAGTGGGGTTTTTAATAAAATAATGATGCTTAATGGAGTGATTTTTTGGTGGGAAATTAAGGTATGATACTTAAACAAGTGATTTTTATGTCATTATCCTAGATTTAGTACAAGGTTATCACCTGACATGACCCGGTCATCCTATCAACACAGATGTTGGTTCTGATAATTTTAGCAACATAATTAGTCCCTGGATCATTAGTATTCTATATTTAAAGCTACAATAAAATTAAATCACTTAGTCTAGTGATTAATTTGTACTACTTAAATAGGTGATTATTAAAGAAAGACAACTCTTACTTCTAACCTTTATGGACATTATGTTACTTGAATCAGTGATTTTGAAAACCACTCATTTAAGTAAGTCCCCTGACTGACTACAATCAGCCGTTTTAAATATATTAAAATGTTTATTCAAACGCAATCAAATATTGTTTTGTCTACATACGATCAAATATAATTTTCTGAATTTAAAAGTCAATAATTTATTCATGTTTATTTTAATAATATTTTTGATAAATAAAATTTATAATATTTATTATAAAGCAACAGAATAAGGAAAGGAAATGAGGTACTGGGTTGTCTTGGTCCCAAAATATCTCCTACAGTGCCAAACTGTCGATTACACATGGAGCCGATTCGTTTCCGTGCTGGTGCCAAACTGTCTTGTTACTACCTTATCTACAAAGCAGTAAGACCGGATTCGAGATAGTATGCGATAGTATGCGTTTTATCTGTTAATAAACTGCTTCGCTGAGCGCAGCTGGATACGCCTGCAGAGGTCAAACCCGGAACAGTTGGGGCAAAAATGGACACAATATTCAAGCTTGATACAGGTCTGAATTTGGACTGTAATTTAATATTTGACATATAGGTTTCTGAATAAATGTAGTCAAAGAACTTGAAATTGGTTATATGAATTGAATTTATATTCAATTCAAGATTTCTTGCTGTTGTGCAATACACTGTGCCGTTGCACAATACTTAGTAAATCTGTTGTCAGACTATAAACAAATAAAGTTCAATTAATTCTCAATGTCATATTAGAAATTTATAAAAATGAAAAAGGAGCTTACATCAATAGATATAAACAATTCACCAAAGTTTCATGAGAATTGCTGATAGCATTTTTGAGTTATTGTCCGAAAACTGGAAAACCCTCCCTTTTTTAATGAATAAAACCCCATAACTCAGAAATGATAAATGAAAAATTTATAAAATTCTAAATGGAGCTTACATCAATAGATATATAAACATTTCACCAAAGTTTCATAAGAACTGCTGAAAGCATTTTTGATTTTTTGTCTGAAAACTGGAAAAAATACCCCTTTTTTTATGAATAAAACCCTGTAACTCTGAAACGTCATATCTAAAATTTATAAAAAACGAAAGGGAGCTCATGTCAATAGATATAAACAATACACCACAATTTCTTGCAAGTTGGTGAAAGTATTCTTGAGTTATTGTCCGAAAACTGGAAAATCCCCCTTTTTTTAATGAATAAAACCCCATAATTGGAAACGTAAAATCTAAAATTTATAAAAATCAACAGGGAGCTCATGTCAATAGATATAAACAATTCACCACAATTTCTTGCAAGTTGGTGAAAGCATTCTTGAGTTATTGTCCGAAAACTGGAAAATCCCCCTTTTTTTAATGAATAAAACCCCATAACTCGGAAACGTAAAATATAAAATTTATAAAAAACGAAAGGGAGCTCACGTCAATAGATATAAACAATTCACCAAAGTTCTATGCAAATTGGTTAAATTGTTTTTGAGTTAATGTCCGACATGTTGACGACGGACGGACAGACAGACGGACGGACGGACAGACAACGGTATACCATAATACGTCCCGTAAACGGGCGTATAAAAAGTATCTGACAAAGAACCAGTATTAAATTATTGGTTGCAAGTAAACGTGTCAAATTAATAATTGCTTTTATCTTCTTTTATTTTTTTTTGTAATTACTTTTATCGTCAAAGTTGGATTTAATATTTTTTTTCTACAGAATGATTTAACTTGTCCCGTCGGACAAGCTTCATATAGCTTTTACTTGTCCGACCTTTTTTTCCTCTGGTACCGGACAATCGACACACATTATTGTTGAGCCCTGCAGTGGTTAAAGGAGATGATTTTTGTAAAAAATAATGGATGACTGATGCTAAGTGATGAAAATAGCTTACTTGACCAAACCAGTCAGGTGAGCAAATAATGTGGGACAATCGTGAAGATGATTCATAGACAATTCAGAAGTTTAATGTTGAGCAATCAGGAGTTGTTTTGATAGTATTTTAATTGTGAAACAGCACATTTTGTTAGACATAACATATTTTTGCACACTTACAAACTTTCAAACTTACCTTTCACATCTTCCCATATTTGACTAAGAAAGTCCTTGAACTTCACAGAGAATTGTCTAGGCTAACTGCATGTCCTATGGATATATGTCAATCTGAAATAAGAACAGAATATTGGCCTAAACCTCATGCTGAAAATGTTTATCCTCCATAGCTTTTTTTTTACATATGAACTGCTTGAAAGCACAATTTAAAATGGTGATTTGCACCTAAATGGGTGGACATTGAATCAACTCCTATGAAATTTTGTCTATGAAATTAGACCAGAGATATGATTCTCACCTAAATAGGTGGATATTGGATCAATTTCTATGAAATTATGTCTAGAAAAGGAACGAAGTTGAAAATAGATATAATATATCATTCAGTACAAATTATCATTCTCAAGCAGAAAACTTCAAAAAGTATTCAGGAAATACTTGCATCTTATTAAAACAAATTCTACAATAGGTGCCAAATTCCATAAAACCTATCAATGGGATTAAAAAAAAATAGAAACATTGGTGAATAAGTGAAACAAAGCTATAAAATAATTTATATAAACCTCACAGTTCCTACTAACATTTAACTGTGCAGAACTAATTAATGACCATCATGTAAACAACACATGTAAACTGATATTCTTAAGACCACACTTCCTTACTATGAAACACTTAATTCAAAATTGGTTAGAATTGTTTGAAAAACAAAAAATTAAAATGCAAATTCTAATTAACAAATTAAAAAAAACAATTCAAAAACTATTTAAAAAATCAAAAATTAAAACTGTAATAAATTAAAAAAAAAATAAATGAAAAGAAATAAAAGTAAAACAGTAATTAAAAAAGAAGTAAATGAAAAAATGGGGAATGTGTCCATGGGGCACAGATGATGCCCCCACTTGCATATATATCATTTAAAGTTATAAAGGGACATAACTGAAGAATGGTAAAAGTGACGCTACCCAAATTTGTTAATGATCTGAGTTTTGTAGTAATAAGTATTGTGGATAAGTTTCATAACATTTGGTTGAGGCAAACTTAAGTTAGAATACGGAAACGAAAAATTCAGCAATTTTTCCATTTGTAAAGGGCATATAACTCTAGAACGGTTAAAGTGACGCCACCAAAATTCAAACTTGATCTGTGTTTAGTGGTAATAAGCATTGTGTATAAGTTTCATAACATTTGGTTGAGGCTAACTTAAGTTAGAGAACGGAAACGAAAAATTCAGCAATTTTTCCATTTGTAAAGGGCATATAACTCTAGAACGGTTAAAGTGACGCCACCAAAATTCAAACTTGATCTGTGTTTAGTGGTAATAAGCATTGTGTATAAGTTTCGTAACATTTGGTTGAGGCAAACTAAAGTTAAACGGAAACCAACTTTGGGACATACGTACGGACAAGGTAAAACTTAATGCCTCCTCCGCTACGGCAGGGGCATAAAAACAAAAATTTGTAAGGGTTCCGCGGAACCCAGTGTCTCGCCTACTTTTGCTGTTAATCGCAGGCTAAACAAAATTGAGGAAAAAAATCAATAAAAATATTCCTTTAGATACTATCTTTTGATTGTAAGAACTTCTGTCAAAGCTTGGTATAAATCCAGGATAGTTTATGAATCTAATAAATGTTTTAAAAACTTTAACTGCAGACTGTATTTAATGTTAACTGGAAGAAAACTAAGTCCATTTATAAATAAAATACAGATAAACAGGTACAAAATTTTAACAAAATTTCTTTCTAGATACTAGCTTTTGATCATAAACAAGCTTCTGTCCAAGTTTGGTACAAATCCAGGATTTAAAAATTAGTTTAAGAAAGTTATTAAAATTTTAAAAACTTTAACCACAGAGTGAATGTATTGTTTCCTGGCAGAAAAACTAAGTCCATTTATAAGTAAAATACGGAAAAAATAAAAAAAATTGTTTAACAAATTTACTTCTGGATACTATCTTATGATCATAAACAAGCTTCTGTCCAAGTTTGGTACAAATCCAGAATAGTTTAAGAAAGTTATTAAAATTTTAAAAACTTTAACCACAGAGTGAATGTAATGTTTCCCGGCAGAAAAACTAAGTCCATTTACAAGTAAAATACGGAAAAACAGGAATTTTATTTTTACAAAATTTACTTCTGGATACTATCTTATGATCATAAACAAGCTTCTGTCCAAGTTTGGTAGAAATCCAGGATAGTTTAAGAAAGTTATTAAAATTTCAAAAACTTTAACCACAGAGTGAATATTTGTGGACGCCGCAGCGACGAATACGCCGACGGAATGTAGGATCGCTATGTCTCGCTTTTTCGACTAAAGTCGAAGGCTCGACAAAAAAACAAAAGGGATGGTTTCTGATGAAGGTTTTCCGAAATAACCCGGAATATTGCATTAATGTACATGATGTAAGGCCAGAGATATGATTCCCACCTAAACATGCTAAATGGGTGGATATTGGATCAATTTCTATGAAAATTATTACAACTAGGAATGTCTAAAAAACTGAATTATAGCAAAATTTGTTTTGAAACAAGAGGCTTTGTATCACTCACCTGATGAACAAAACACCAGTTTACTAGGACTTTTAAATGCACAAACTATACAGCTGTATATAATATATATATATAGGTACTGTTTGTGTTGCTGATCACTTTTGCATTTAACAGGTTTAACCTAACCTATATGTATAAGTTAATAGATATCAAGCCAAACTGTAAAAAAAACAGTAAATATCAACGTTTCAGGGGCAATAACTCCAAAATCAGAAATCAATGTTAAAAATACCATTAAAGAACATACATGACATAGATCTTGTCATGCTGATCATTTTTGCAGACAACACTTTTAACAGGTCTATCTCCTACAGTTTTCAAATGACAGCAAACAAGAATGTGTCCATAGTACATAGACGCCCCACTTGCACTATCATTTTCTATGTTCAGTGGACCGTGAAATTGGGGTCAAAACTCTAATTTGGCATTAAAATTAGAACAATCATATCATAGGGAACATGTGTACTAAGTTTCAAGTTGATTGGACTTCAACTTCATCAAAAACTACCTTGACCAAAAACTTTAACCTGAAAGACCAAAAACTTTAACCTGAAGCGGGACAGACAGACATACGGACGGACAAAGTAACGGATGCACAAACTGAAAAACATAATGCCCATAAATGGGGCATAAAAACTCCTAAAAGTAAGAAAAATAGGTATTTCAGGGGCAATATATAAAAATAAAGTAATCTTTTTATTCCTTGGTGGATAAATCTGTACATCTTGTCAAGCTGATCATTTTTTCTAATTTACACTTGAATTTTAGCAAGCTCCAATAATTTTTAAATTAAGTGGTCATGTTGACTTATTTAAAAATATATGTCTTTTATACATTTGTGCAGTTAAAAGTTGTCTGTACCTATCATAGTTTCTGCAAAAAATAAAAAAATTGGGTAAAATATTCATTCAAGGGAAATAACTGCTTTAAAGGATCTTGAAATTAATGATTTAAATAATGTAAGTCCTATTCCCAGATCTTACTTTGCTGACATATTTATCACTTAAACATGTTAAAGTTTCTCTTTTTCTATCATTGTTTCTGCAAAAAACATAATTTTAGGTAAAAATAATTTTTCAAGGGCAAAAACTGCTATAAACAGGATAAAGGATCAATAGACTGTTTCGGTCATGTAAGCTTATTCACAGATCTTACTTAGCTGAACATATTTACCACTTAAAGTGTCTCTCAATCTATCATATTTTCTACAAGAAACTCTAAAATCTATTACAATTTTGTCTTTCAAGGGCAATGACTCATATAAGGATCCATAATACTGTTTTGCTGTTTAAAATTTATCTTTATCTGAAATTGTTTTCAATATGACAATCAGTGTTACCAAGAACATAATAAAATGCTCCGCTGGGGTGCAGCTTGATACAACCGCAGAGGTCGAACCCTGAACAGTTGGGGCAAGTATGGACACAACATTCAAGCTTGATACAGCACTGAATTTGGATTGTAATTAAATATTTGACACAGCATAGGTTTCTGACACAGAATGAAAGTGGTCTAAGAACTTAAAAAATTTTAATTTACCTATTCAAACCATATCATTATTATTTGCTTTTATATAAAAATCAGAAATAACCAATTTAAAATGGTAAATTTTAAAGAAAAAAAAGGAAAAAAAAATCCCCCCCCCAAATTTTTTGAACCCCCTTATGATTCATCACCCCCAAACTCAATCCCAGCCTTCCCTTTGTGGTATGGTACCTTGCAGCACAATTTCAGAGAGATCCATACACTTGAACACAAGTTATTGTCTGGAAACTAGAAAAATGCTTGTTTTTTGGCCCCTTTTTGGCCCCAAATTCCTAAACCTTTAGGGCAATTACCCCCAAACTCAAACCCAGCTTTCCCTTTGTGATATGGAACCTTGCAGTACAATTTCATAAAGATCCATACACTTACACACAAGTTATTGTCCTGAAACTAGAAAAATGTTTGTTTTTTTGCCCTTTTATGGCCCCTAATTACTAAAATTTTGAGGGAATTAACCCCAAATTCAATCCCAGCCTTCCCTTTGTGGTATGGTACCTTGCAGTACAATTTCAGAGAGATCCATACACTTGAACACAAGTTATTGTCTGGAAACTAGAAAAATGCTTGTTTTTTGGCCCCTTTTTGGCCCCAAATTCCTAAACGTTTAAGGTAATTACCCCCAAACTCAAACCCAGCTTTCCCTTTGTGATATGGAACCTTGCAGTACAATTTCATAAAGATCCATACACTTACACACAAGTTATTGTCCAGCAACTAGAAAAATGCTTGTTTTTTTGCCCTTTTTTGCCCCTAATTCCTAAAATTTTGAGGGAATTACCCCCAAAATCAATCCCAGCCTTCCCTTTGTGGTATGGTACCTTGCAGTACAATTTCAGAGAGATCCATACACTTGAACACAAGTTATTGTCTGGAAACTAGAAAAATGCTTTTTTTGGCCCCTTATTCCTAAACTTTTTTGGGCAATTACCCCGAAAATCAATTCCAGCTTTCCCTGTGTGATATGGAACCTTGTAGTACAATTTTATAAAGATCCATACACTTACACACAAGTTATTGTCATGA